TCAAATATCTTTCTTGTTCATTTCCTTTTCCTTTGACATTATTGTCTTACCATTGATTTGGTTAGTAACCCTATCTTTGGATGTAAATGGGATGGGCATGGGTCATCGTATAACCATGATTAGCAATGTTGCAAGGTATCTTAGCAATCTTTTTGAGGGACTAAGATCATTTGTAAGGCAACTTAGATAGCGTCATCGAGGGACTATGATCTTGTATTTGCTTGTTTTTGCTAAGATACCTTACATGCATAATATGGCCATTTTGTATAAGGCAACCAAGTGGGATAACCCTAGGGGTGCTTGTGTGCAAGTGTATTATTTTCATGCTTGATTTTGTCTTGAATTAGGTTTTTCTATTTAATTGATTTTGTTCTTTCCATACAAACCCCAATTACTAGCATGTGAATATAAATCATTTAAATTGCGAAAATAAAAATACTAAGCTATTACATGATTTGTTGGAAGGAGGTGTACAAATTGAATGAGGATTGCAAGAATTTATAGCCTAATTAGTCTATTACAACCATATTGAATTTATACAATAATTGAAATAAATAAATGTACAAAAATAAATATGCAAGAATGTAAAAAAATGAAATGATTTTGTTTTGGTTTTTAAGGGTTTTAACCTAATGTCTAAGAAGGAAAAATAATTAATTAAAGATAATAATATTAAACCTAAATTAGTTAAGAAAAGAAAATTAGGTTAAAAAAGTATTTTTTTTTTAGGGTTTTTTATATAAAAGGTTTTAAATTAATGAAAATAAAGTGAAGATTAATTAATTAAAATAAAACCTAAATTCTAAGTTAATTTTAATTTAGAAAGTAAGATAATAATTAAATTAAGTCTAAATATCTATTAAAAAAAGAGATTAATTTGTTTAAGAAAATGTTTTTTAACCTTTTTGTTTTATAAAGAAAAATAAAAAATGTATAAGTATAAATAATAAATAAAAATATTTTTGGATTTTTTATTAACAAAGATAAAAATAATATTAATAATAATAATAATAATAATAACAATAAAAAATATTATAGAAAATAAAATGTAATGAAATAAAAAATAAAAAATGAAATAATAAAGAGAAATGGGCCAGGGGTGTAAAAGTAAGAAGGGATTAGAAGTCATCAAAAATACAAAAGCCCAAAGGGGAGAAGCCCATGCGCCTGTTTGCTGGAAAAAAAAGAGAAAAAATGTAAAAAAGGAACAAAAGGGTACCACTGAGGCTCGAACCCGGGTCCCATAGGTCAACAGGCGCGCGCTTTACCACTAGGGTGGTTATACATCTGTTAACTTGTATGAAATAATAAATACATAACACAAAATGCGCCCTGACTGTACTTCATCTTCAACCTCCAGCCAAAGGATCTGTAACTTATTCATTTCTCAACCATTTGCAAAAATGTAAACATGAAAATTGCTCCATTTTGTCACACGAATCCAAACATATAAATATCATAAACTATAAATCAAAGATGAATGTGAATTTTTAACAGTACCAAATTCTGACCTAAATATTTCAGAAAGTTCAAACTCAAAATTCTCCTAGCTCAATCAAAATAAATGAAATCTATGGACATGTACAACTTCAGGGCAATGATGTCTACATTTTATCTTCACAAATACAAGCCTAACAATGCCAAAGTAATAAGATAGAAATTCAACAAAAATACATCAAAACTGGAAATCGTGAAATGGATTTGAGCTTGTTTCAGGCAATGCTGATGATCAGGTTAGCTTCCTTGGACCTCTAGGAAGCTAATGCAATGATTGGCTTGAGCTGAGGATGGCCGAAATAGTCTGGAGAAGTCCAACTGTGATGATCTGTTTTTGGTTATGGAAGACATGGAAAATGGTGTTACAGAAGTGAAACAAGTACAGGGATGAGTTACTATTGATGCAAGGAAGCTTTAGAAACTAAAAGGCCAAGAAACGCACGAGGGAAATGTGAGTTTGAGGTTCAAGGTCAGAAACTGGGTATCAATGGATTTTTTGGGTAATTTCTGATTTGAGAGAGTTTTGGTGTATTTCAGGGTGTTTAAACTCGTGTTCTAGCTCACAAATAGTGACTCTATTTATAAGCAACAAGTTTGGGATGCTCTAGTTGATCAGAATTCAAATTTGCATCCTTAAGCTAAACATGTGATTTTTTGACAAAACAAGTTTCAAAGTCTTGTGTACTTGCTAACATAGAGTGGTTATGCTTTAAAAAAGCTTGCTTATGACTTTGTGGGTGGAGTGTGATCATAGGGAACAAGTTAGAGGCTCAATGTGAACTTTATGCAAAAAACTTGCTTTACAAGAATGGTATTGTTAACTTTCTTCCAAAAATGGCAATGTGAATTGGATAAAGCTTAAACCACTTGGATTATAGATCAAAAGTTTGTTTAATCCATTAATTATGGAGTAAAAAAGAAGTTTGAGGCCTGAAAAGCAAAGATTATGCAGCCTAACATTGAAATTGCATTTGTGTTCATCATGAAAATGACCTATAATTCAAGTGACAAAACACCAACTTCATCTCTTTGATTCTCCCTACTCAAGAATGATCTCAAGGAGTTATTGGACATTTTGGAAAGCTTGCAATGTTCTTTACAACTCATCTTTGAATTTCTTTTGAAGATTCCCCTTGGAACTATGTAATACATTTCCATGAAGTTAGGTCAAAAATCTGTCTAACTAGGGCAAAATTTCACTAAGTCTTTTTTAGTTCATGAGCATGTATTCATAAAATTATAACTTGAGATCCAAGGACTTTTAGGAGAAGTTATGTGAAGCAAAGTTGTAGGTTTCATGGATATCTACAACTTTCATGTTGGAAGTTTCCTTTGAATCATCTTGCATCATAATAAAAAAAATTCTCAAAGTTATGAAAAAATAAGAAATTTTTGACACTTGGAAAAATTTCTAAGTTTAGAAATTTTGACTTTTCAAAATGAAATCTTGATTTCTTGATTTCTTGATTTTTTGATGAATAAGTTTCCTATTTTGACATTTTTTTGATGAATTGTGATCTTTGGTGCTTAAATTTGACCAAAAAGTCAAAGTTTGACTTTTCAGTATACAATTGACTTTTGATCAATTGACTGCAAAATTCATCTGTCAATCCAATGGATTTGCAATGTTTTGAATCATGTCATTAGGTAAAAATTATGCAATTGGACTCTTGATATCATGCCTTAAACCAATTGACCATTTGCTAGGTCAAAAATCAGAAATTGCCCTTTCCCAGTCAAAACCCTAATTTTGACCATTTTGCCCTTTTGGAGATTTGATCAAATTTCTTGAGGAATTGTGGTCCAAACTTGATAAAATGATACATATGAGTCTAAAATGTTGATGTGGATAAAAAATTATAGAGTTTGACTGTAAATTGGCCATAGTTGAATTTTTCCCTAATACAATTGATTTTTAGGTCAACGGCTCAATTGACTGAGCAAAAATGTGATCCAAGGCTTGAAACTTGACATGAGTAATCTTGTGGGTCCATAATGGTCCATGAAAGTCATATTAAGCATTGATAGTTCAAAAATCCTTGTGCAAAATCAAACCCTAATTTTGGTCATCAGTGCCTAAGGAGGTGTCTTGAGCTGATCAAACCCTAGTGCAGTCTTGAGCCCAGGGAGATCTTGTGAGCAAATTCTTGATAAGTGAGAGGGAAAATTTTGGGGTACAACAAGTAGATTTGAGTATTTGAGACCTTTGTGAGCATGTTTTGAAGAAAGTGGGAGGGAAATTTTTGGGATACAACAAGCAACATAACTTCTTTTTCCTGTATGGAAATCCTTCGAGAATATCGTACCATTACCTGCCAAAACTTGTTAGTGAAGGCATCCAAAAAGAATAAATCATAAAAATTTTGACCCGTTCTTCGGAGTGCAAATTTTAGGGTTCTTTTAGTATTTAATCTTCATCTAACTTGAATGTTCGAAAGGCTAGTGTCAATCTCACCTTCAGGTTGAAGGCGACTAAATAGGTGCACCCCAAAATTTTCCCTCCTAATTTCTTTTATCTGGCCGAGGATTTTGCATTCATCTGCATATATTCCATTAGGTTACTAACATAGCATACATTTTTATTCAATAAAGTACCATGGTTCAAAAGATCAGTTGATTATGTAAGTTAGGGTTGTCACTGACTGAGATAAATATATCCAATAAAGGTTGATTTCTTCTTCAAGAAATTAACAATGGAATTAGGGTTATGATTCACGATCATTAAGATCTTTCTCATCAAGCTAGAAGGGTATCTCCCTCAAAGTTCATCAAGAGACAAAGCCATCCTTTTAAGTTATATTAAGAAGTAAGTGAATTAGGGTTGTGATTTGTTGATGCTTGGGTTTTAACTGAGGATCTTATTCATTTAATGCTTGGGTATAACTCTCAGGTGGTGTACTTTTCATATTGAGGTTTTCATATGAGTCCTTATCATCATTCAAAGTTGATTCATTGGGTTACTAGGATCACAAGTCATGGGTTTCAGGATTATGCAATAATACGGGTTCACGTGGAGTTTTTGTGGGTTAATTTTTAAGTTTAAAACGCATTTATGGAAGCTTTGGCTTTTGGTAGTTCTTTCATCTTATCATCTACAAGCTCATTAAAATTTGCAAAGATATAGTGAAAGAGCATGGTTCATTTCAAGTGGAGGCATGCGAAAAAGGATTTGAAAGTTCAAATTAGGGAGGGAAGTATTTCATTCTTTTCAAGTCCATATTCAAGTGAAAGGTCAACATATTCAAGGCACATAAATTTTGTTTTTCTTCAATCCTTCTTTATATGAAAGTCTCATTACAAAGTCATGGCCATCATATCAAGAGTTATAAAGGGTATATAAAAATGCATAAACCTATGCTAGACTCCATCTTCACAACATGTATCGAGGGCTTGTTAAAACCTTCAAGATTTCACCATTTCAAAACCTTCCTGGCCATGGCTTAAACTTTTTTCACCTTTGCCTCCATTACAACCCTCATGTTGCAATTCCTGAGTAAATGTACCTAAGTCACTCCATTTCCCTCAAACGCTTCAGCCAAAATCACATCTTCATCTTCTATTGACTCATCAAGTATATACACCAATTCATAAAAAAACCAGAAAATACAGTTCAAACCATAATTCCCTCCACCAATTAATTCATGAAAGCCTTGCATAAACAGGAAAAAAAATTTCACAATTGCAATTGAAATCATTTAACATCAATAAAACCAATTCCATTTCCCTGTACTATACCCAAATAAGAACCGGTTCAGACATAATAAACCAGCCCTGCTCTAATTAATTAGTACAACCAGTTCAAAATAATATAAAAACAAAAAAAAAAAATTAGAGGGAAGGAGGGACCTGTGGAGATAGTACCGAAGAATTAAATCAGAAACACAATTGTACAGCTCATGAGAACCATAACTTACAACTCGACAATATTCTGATAGCATGATTAATCTGAGCCCTCTATGTCCTAACAGACTCCTGAAATCCAAAGGCTATGATGATTTCAATCCTAACAAACTCTAACTGGTATGTAGTAGAATCAATATTCAGAAGAAAGGGGGGATTCATTATGCAGACCATAAGAAAAACCTCACCTCAAAATTCTCTCGAGACTCCCTTGAATTTATCTCTACAAACTTCAACAACCTTCATCTTCTCATCTTGAATCTTCATCCACCTACATCCATTTTCTTCAACCTCTGCTTCCTCCATCATCAATCTATCTTCAACCTTCATCGCTATCTTCTTTTGCATCGTCAACTATCATCATTATTGATCGGTGAGAAGAATCACCAAAATCTTCAACAACATTTCTCTACTCCTTATTTCATCATCTTCATCACCATTCTTCATCAGCAGAGGAATCACACCATCACAGAAAATTCTCTCTCTCATTCGGCAGAAGAATCTGCAGCACTCTCTCTTTTCCTTTCTTCTTCACCTTCATTCTGCTACAAACCTGGCACCTTCAAGTTAATGCAACAAACTTTATCAATTAGCATCTCTGCAACCTTCAACCATAAATTCTCCATCGTCACCTTCAGTCTTCAACGGTTTTGCACAACAACAACAACAAACGCTTGAGTAATAATTGAAACAAAATTGGAATCGACGAAGAAGAGAAAATGGAATCAAATACACATACCTGAGTTTTAAAGACGCACCAGACTTGCCTTCCGGTAGGTAAGACTTGTGTTTTCTTCAATTTCCTATTCTCCATTTGTTCTACAAAATCGCAATGGGAAGCGAAATCTTAAACAAAAGAAATGTCGTGAGGTTTATGCTCACGTCATGTTGAGCGAAAATAGAAGTGAGATTAACTAATTGAGACAAAGGCGATAAGGCTTGAGACGGTGGAGTATTCGCACCGTCAATGAAGATAAAGCCACATCGGAGCAGAGAACTTGTGGTGGCGTAAATCGACGAAGAGAAGAAGGATGTTGGTGAAGAAAGATGGCCAATACGACAAAGGAAACACAACGATGGATGAGTTTCGTTGATCGGAGAAGAGAAGAATTCTCCGTTGTATCTCGTGAGGAAGAAGAAGGTCTTATAAAGCTTGAACCGTCATTCACCAACCAACCCTAATTTCATGTTTAATCCTCTTTCAGTTTTCTTTTATTTGTTTCTTTTTTGTTCTTTTTTAATTTCAATAATTCTATAATAGTTAGTAATAAAAAATCTAGAAGTACGAAGGTTAGATTGTTATGATGGATCAAAACTCTGCCTTTAAACAAAACAATAACAAAATATGGACTATTGTTGTTTTGTGTGGACCAAACCACGCGTTCCACTGAAGCCCAATGCACCTTTTTTTTGTTTTTATTATTGCCAACATGCTAGAAATTGAATAAAGAAATCAGATTTGACCTTCCTGCTGGGCCTTAGCGCCAACTTACTTCACCATAGACACTGATCCGGTTTTTGCACCCCGTAGGCCTTGTTTTTTTAATTTGCCAATTTTGTTGAATAAAGTTGTTAATTGTTTAGATTTGTTCTATTTTTCTCATGACAAAAATTATAAAATCCATAAAAAATTTGTTAGATTTATTTTATTTTATTTTGTTTTAGAAATTAAATCCCGATTATCCGATTGCTTGAGATTCGTAATTCACCTTTGTTTGTTGAGATTTGAGTCTTATGCGGGTTTATTGTGCGTATGCGGATATGCTTGATATTTCGATTGTGATTTATTTTCACATCGATGATGTTTCGACACTTATTCTGAGCATTTGATTTTTGACTATTTTCTTTGATTTGTGAAGCTTTCGCGAAGATTGCTGGGTTTCTTTGTTTTGATATGGTTTGCTACAGATTAATATCTGTTTGGTATTTTCTCTTGCTTATCTCATTTTAACATTTCTTGCTTTCTAGATATCATGAAAAGTAGGAACTTTACTGCTTTCTAGATATCATGAGAAGTAGGAAATAAAGAGCATGCACTCGAAGTCGCTGTTTAAAGTCCTGTAGCAGGCACCGCTTTCTGTATGCAATCTGCATTTGCTTAAAATCCTACCTTTGAAGTAGGTATTTTGCACGTGTATTTACATTTGTGCCTGCATTATATTATAAATGTTAAGTCCTCAAAAGGAGGCAAGCAAGGAGGGTCCGTAATTGACCCCAGCACATTCTAGTTCATGTCATCCTCAGCTCATGTTATACGTCAATGCTTTGGAGTTGTGTAGATCATGTGTATCGAGTCAGTCATATGGAGAAGGATTCACAACCAATCCCCATACTTTGTCAGGAGTTCGTAATGGTTATTGTTGATACTTCGCTACTCGCCTGTTTGCTTCGGGTGATCCGCTCCTCTTAGCTAAAGTATTTCCTTTCTTTTTTTATTTCATATTTTTGTACCCCGAAATTTTCCCTCCCATATTTCTCAATACATGTCAAGTGAGGTCCTCAAATTGCTCAAGGAAGTCCAAGAGTTGACCAGACAAACTCTCTCCTAAGACAGTCTATCTCAAATTAAGGTTTCATTTTACATCAAGATGCTTGAGTCCAAAGGATCCCAAATGCTCACCTTTGTCCTAATATGTTCTAAATATCATCCATGACAAGTTTCAAGCCTTGTAGAAGAAGTTTGCTCAGTCAATTGCTCAAAAGTCTGAAAATCGATTGTGCTAGGTCAAAAGTCAATTGTGGCCCACATATAGTCAAACTTCAAGATTTTTGGTCAACATTATCATTTTAAAGTATTATTCATCATTTTATCAAGGGTTGATCATGGTTCCTCAAGGATTGCTCAAAATTCATCAAAACCCCAAAGTTGCTAAATTAGGGTTTTGCAGGAAAAGTCAACTCAACTTTGACCAAGCATAACTTTCTCATGATTTATCCAAAATGACCCATCCAAAGCTCATTTTGAAGAGGATGTAATTACCTACAATTAATATTCATCTCCCAAGTTCTAAATATTCACTCACAAGAAGATATGAATTTGGACATTATAGGTCATTTTGAGAAGTCAACAAAAACACCTTTTAGGTCAAAGCTTCATACATGAACATGGAAGACTCATTTGAGATGAGACCAAAAGGGTTGCTTAGAGGACATCCTAAGATTTCTATAAAGTCCAAGAACACCTCTCTAGGGTCAAAATTGAGGGAGTTATGCATTGTCCAAGTTGACCCTTTTTGCAAAATTGCCAAAAGACAAATGTGTCCAAAATTGCATTTTTGCCAAATGGGCCCAACTTTTTATGCTTGCGCTGAGTTTGTAATGTGACCCACGACCCATGAGCCCTTCCACTTGTCATTCTTTTATTTTTGTTATTTATTTTGATTTTATTTCATTTAAATCAAATAAAATCAATATAAAATACTGAAAATATCAAAAATCAATAAAACCTTGAGATTTTGTGCATGATTAGATTCATTATACAGCTGGAGACAAGATCAAATCGTGCAAGGCTTCATATGGACAGAAAAGATTGAAATTGCTTGTTTTGGAAAGATTTGGTACAAGGATGAAATCATTGATCAATCTTCATAATTGGAAAAGATTTGATACAAACTTTAACCCTAATGCACTCTAGTATACATAAGAAACGAAGGCAAACCAAAGAGAGAGGCTGGAGGCGTGCAAAGGCAGAGAACCAATTGCAAAAATTCAAGGAAAAAAGTGCAAACCAAATTCCAAGTTGCAGGCCATCTCAAGCCGTTCTAACCATACCAATCGTTTGCTGGACGTCTCAGGATCGTGTTTCAATCGTTAGCAAGCCTCCCCACGCTCAGAATCACCCTGTAACATTCACACGGTTTGCCTATTTTGTCGAATTTGAATATATTGATTCTGGCATATTTAGCATGATTGATTGGCATATTTATAATCTTTGAGATGTTTGCAAGCTAATGATTATATTCAATTGCATTTTTATTGACTGAACGTAAAACTGCCACGGCTAGGATTTGTTCTTTGTTTTTAGGGGTTTCTTATACAGGAAAAATTAAACATTGATAATGGTACCATGATGCTCGTGAGGTTGAAACGAGTTGAGTGGTACCATTGGTTTTCATTTATCATGCGCGTACATGATTGTTGAAATGCACAAGGGCTATACCTACGCTTAATGTCAGTAGGTAAAAGTTGCAAAACTTACAGCGATGGTGGGAGGAAGAAGACGGATACGTGGCGGTCCCTGATGTGCCAGTTTGGATTTCACGCGTTTCAAAGTTTAACATTTTGTTTTTATTATATAATATTTGTTTGTTATTGTATATACAACTAAAACAGCCAGCTCAGTTGGCAAGCGTGCAAAGGAGGAATGTATAAGGACCTGGGTTCTATCCCCAGGTTCCTTATTTGCTTCATATTATTTTTCAATGAAAGATCAGGTACACCTCACGCTTCAGGATCCACCATGTGCTATTCAGATCTGACCGTTCAACCCATCAAGGCTTCAGATCTAACGTTTTCTCCTTGGAGGACCACCATGCGCCCCAGTCAAACGTGCACGTTGGATTGAGCAAAGTCAAAAAGGCCTAAGCTTATTGGGCCAAGAAATTGCAAACAACACCCCCCCTTTTTGCTAAACATCAGACCCATTATTAATTCTCTTTATATTTCTTTTTTATTTTTTTTTTATTCTTTTAATTTATTTTATTCATTTAATTTGCAAACTAATTAATTTTTCACCAAAATCATAAAATCAAGAGTTTTACAAAAAAAAATTAGAATTAGGTTTTTTTTATCAAATTTAATTTAATATTAGTTTAATTTAATTTAGGGAAATTCTAACTTTTTTATATAATTAAAATCAATTAGAAAAATTAGGGTTAGACTCTTGATTCAATATTTATTTCTTTCTCAAAATAAAAATACAAAAAATAGGTTAATTTAATTAGTTTTCTTAAATTAAAATTAATTAGTAATTAGGTTCTTTTTTATTCAATTGAACTTTATTTTCTCAAATAACAAAAAACGACAAAAAAAAAAGATTTTTCCTTTAAATTACAATTAGGTATAGTTGGCGTCAAAACCCTAATTATTTTGCATTCGATTCATCGCACGTGTTTATTATTTTTGCAATATTGATGTAACTGTCCACGGTATGTAATAGTTTAATCTAGGACTTTCTTTTATTTATCGTCTTTTGCGGGTTTTTTTGGCTATGTAATTAATCCCTATCCCGAAGCCTTGTAATAGCGTAGGTTTATTTTCTCGTATTTTAATTCTCGCAAATATTAACTGTTTAGATGTATGTTAATAGGATTGTATGACAAGATTGCATGATAATTTAAAACGGCTAGAAAACCCTAATGTGCAAAGATAATAACTGAAATCAAATCACTCGCACATATGCACTCCTAGGGTATACTCTCACTTCGGTTGCCTTTGGTAAACGGTCATGAAGTATAGGGTGTCATAGTGGTTGCCCTTCTGTCTAAAAAAGGATCAAATGTCCCGTTCGAATGTTGCCTCGGAATGTTGCCTCAGAAATGTTGCCTCGAATATGATCTTAAGACTTTAGGATTATTACTAAGGTGTCCTAACATTGCTTTAATGATCGTACGTCCCTTATGAATTGACCCTTACAAATCCAACGACGGTGCTACCTATTTCTCAATAGTGGGATAGCG